GGACATCCTGCTTCGTTTTGAATTGGCGCATGTCCCATAGCTTCCTGCTGAAATCCTGTACCTTTTTATGCTGCAAATTTTCTGTGTGTGTGTCTGTGTGTTGCCCCGCTTTTGTTACGCTGCAGTGCGAGAGGGCCCCTTCCAGACAAGCATAATGCAGTAACATTGGGGAAGCATCGCAGAACAACTAATAAAGCAGAATGGTGATGTGTGGATGCATCAGTAGAAGTCTTCCGCTAATGCACTGTTATTGTGTCAGTGGCATGTTGCAGGATACACCCACAAAAAACACGCCAAGGAGTTTGGATAAGGCTTTTCCCTTCTCTCTCTTTGCTTGTCACACTTTGCCAACATCCCATGGTTTTCATGGGCCTAAAGGTAAAGGTAAAGGACCCCTGGACAGTTAAATCCAGTCAAAGGCGACTATGGGGGTTGTGGTGCTCATCCCACTTTCAGACCGAGGGAGCCGGCATTTGTCCACAGACAGCTTTCCTGGTCATGTGGGCGGCATGACTAAACTGCTTCTGGCGCAAGGGGACACTGACGGAAACCAGAGTGCACGGAAACACTGTTTATCTTCCCGCCGCAGCAGTACCTATTTATCTACTTGGCACTGGCGTGCTTTCAAACTGCTAGGTTGGCAGGAGCTGGGACAGAGAAACGGGAGCCTTCCTGGCTGTACATGTGAAAGATCATAGGTTACCGCTCATGTGAAATGCCATGAGACATCCCTGGAGGTAGTGGTGCCACCAGGGCAGAACTTTGGTGCAGAAGGTTCAGAGTTCAGCAGAATGAGCAGGAGGAAACCCAAACGCAACAAAGCTGGCTTACTACATTTAAAGTAAGTGAAGGATATATATAATGCTTTCTACTTAGATGCTTCTCTCCTGCATGAGACCATATTTCCCTGACTGCACCATTGCCTGGAGGAGGGCAGCTTCTTCATAATGTCCCACACTGTAGATCAAATGTGGGGCTCCCATCAGCCCCAGCAAGCATGGACAGTAGCCAGGGAGGATGGGAACTGAGTTCAGCAACATTTGGAGGGTCAAAGGTTCCCAACACTTACTGTGGATCTTGTGGGTGGGGGGCAGGTGGGAAATGTGCTTAGTGATGCCTTACTTGTTGCATTGATTTGAGCAGAATCAAAGCGCAACTAACTTAGCCTGGATTTGACACATCAGCACTGGCTCTCTTGACTGTATTTTTATTATGGCTCAAGTGTGGAAGGTGAGGCTTTCAAGGTCAAGGGGATCAGCATAAAGCTGCCTCTTTTATTGCAGTAGGTTTCCGGATATGTCAGCGGTTCTGACATTTGCACAGCTGCAGCTCAAGAATCTTTAATACATAACAGATGAGATTGGATACATCCTGGATTGAAATGCCACTTAGGAGATGCATGTAACTAGAAATGTAAAATTTCTGTGAATTTTGAAACCTTGCGGTGTGGTTTTGCGTGGAGTTTGTCGGTGAGAGGGCCAGACACAGACCTTTTGGAGGAAATGTACTCAGTATGAAACTTTCTAATTAAAACTAATCATATTTTACTACTTTAACACCAGAAAATACATAATTTATAACCTATCATGCAAAATTTTGCTGTTTGGATTTTTTTATAAAAAAAATATACAGACCCCCCCCCCCATTTTTTAAAAGATTTATTTTGCGGGATCTGTAGCACCACCTAAGATAATAAGCTCCAGGATGAGTTTATGACTACTAGTAGGTATTTTTCAGTAGCATCTTCAGTAACTGAAGTTGGAAAGGAATGGTCTTCCTGATCATAAAGGTTGATGACCCCGTTGAGGGTGTGAGTGTTTTCTTCCTGTGGAGCATTTCTCAAGGCTAATAATAATAATAATAATAATAATAATAATAATTTATTACTTTTACCCCGCCCATCTGGCCGGGCCTCCACAGCCACTCTGGGTGGCTTCCAACAGGATATTAAAAACACAATAAAACATCAAACATTAAAAACTTTCCTAAACAGGGCTGCCTTCAGATGTCTTCTAAAAGTCAGGTAGTTGTTTAGACAAACTTGCCCTGTGACAACCTGCCCACAATGCTCCCTTCATGTGAATTCTGTAGCTTGTTAGCCAGCAATTTTGCATAGAGGGAGAGAGAGAAACATAGTACATATTTACATATTTTGTCTTGTTTCGCACAATTGATTCTTGAAAGTTTCCTCTTTTACAGAATTGATTCTGGTTTTGCTAAACGCTGACCCTCTCCCCCAACACTGACAATTTTATGTACTGCAGTCACACCTCTAGCCTAAGATTACAGTAGACATGACTTTGCAACCAGCAGTGCTAGAAACTTGCTCTTTATTCTTTAAGGGAAGCTGAGCTATTTCAGAAAGCGTAATTCTGCAACCAATACCACATTCTTCCCTTTTCCTGCTCTCCCAAGGAATTGTGGCATACGCTCAACCCTGGTTAACGTTCCAGATTGCTGGGCTCACTTGTGGGAGGCTTGGTGGGATGCTGTTGCCTTTCACTCACTCTCTTTTAACTTCATATAATCCCGTGAAATGATGACCTTCCTAGGTGGTAGGAAGATCAGGTTCAAGGGAACCATTTACCTTCCATAGCATGTTCTAGACTGGTTCAGCCAAAAACCTATGTCATATTCGGACGGCATCCCTAGCATCTCAGCTGGTCAAAATGGACTTAGGGGCTGGTTCCTCGTTGCAAAGAGGCAGCCCTTCTCATGGTTTGTGGAGTCTTCCAGTGGTTGGAAGTTGGATCAGATTCCAGGCTTTTCTTTCCGGAGGGAAGGAAGTGCAGGAGCGGTAGGATTAATCAGTGGCTTGCTGATAGTGAAGATGCCAACTGCTCTCTGGTGGTCTGCAGGCTCTAATGCAGCCTGACTATGCATGAAAACGCCATTGGGCCTCTTTACCACTTTGGGTAAGGCTGTGTGTGCAGGTGAGTATGTGCCTCTTTGTGGATGAGGGCAACTCTGTGCTTGTGGTGTTTCGTCTGCGCTCGGTTAAGTTTCCTGTGGCTCATCTGCGCACAATACTGTTGGTGGAAATGGCCTCGGGGGTCAGTGGAATTAAGTGTGTGCATGCTGTTCTCAAGGGCCATGGGTGTTGGGGGTTTCTGTGTGTCCCGTTTGTATGGGAAATGACATAGGGAGTTGGAGAAGGTCGCAGGTGTGTTTTCCGTTCTCACACTTATTGCATACAGTTAATTCTGTTCAAAGCATTATGTGTTCCGATATATCACCATGCCCCATATTTTGTGACAAGAAAAGCAGGATTCTGCAACCTGTTCTCATTGTTTATTTTAATGACTGATTTTATTAATTTAATGAGACTCTTTATACCTTGCCTTCCTGCCGTATAGCACACATTTTCCTACTATTTGTCCTTCTGCAGTCCCCCCCCCCTTCTCCCTATTTATTCCACTGCTGTTGCTGGTCATGGGAAAAGGCAGAGAGCACGAGATCTTCTGCAGATACCATTCTGACATCTAAAGATTTCTCCAGCTGCTGTCCATGTATTTCCAAAAGTTTTACAATCACAAGGGCTGGAAAATCATTTTATAAAAATAAAATAAAGCTAGGCTAGGATGCTTGGAAAGCTAAATTTTGCATCTAAGCTCACGTTCTATGTCTTCTACATTTCCTTGCGGAACTGTGTTCCCCACTTGTTCTCAAATGTATTGTGGAGTCATGAGGACTAGACAGTTGTTTGTGGGTGTTTAAATGAAAGAGTCTCAGGATGCTTAACTGCAGGACAATGAGTTGCAAATTTACTTAATTCAACCTTTAATCCAAGGCTCTTTTGCCCACTTACACCTTCCCCTGCTGTGGCCAAAAGGATTCCAGTTTTGCCAGCTTCTCTGCTATCTATCTATTTATTTAGTTCCCATCTTTTCTCCCAGGAACTCAAGGTGATGTGCATTGTTCTTCCTTTCTGCATTTAATCTTAACAACAACCTTGTGAGGTGGGTTAGACCGAGAGGCAGTGATAGACCCAAGGTCACTCGGTGCATGTCATGGCTGAGTGGGGATTTGAACTCGGGTCTTCTTGGTGCTAATTCAACACCCATACCACTACAGCAGCCTGGGGGTGAAGGCAGGAGAATGGGCTGCTGAAAGAAAGAGGCAAGGGATACAGCAGCTATAATTTCACATGCACCACTTCAAGGTGGGGGTAGCAACTGAGCCTAGGGTGGCAAGAATCAGGCTTCCATCCATTGGTGTGATGATCCACCTAACTTGCCAACTTCAGCTGCATCTTTGACAATTTCTGAAATGAATGTTGGAGCAGTGGGGGGTCCAGGAAGCTGCCAGTTCACACATTGTGTGAGTGGATGGTGCTTCAGAGTGGGGAGGTGCCCTAGTGCAATGTGCAAGCTGACTCAGATGCTTCCTGAGCCAACGCCATATGCTTCCTCCCATCTTCCCCCTCTCCACGTGACATCTGATGTTGGCACTCTCCATGAAATCCCAATTTTCCAGGCACCGCCTTTCTGAGGCTGAAGCATTGTGTGGCTGGGGGAGGGGAAACGTCTTGGTTTCCACGAGGAGTCCTCTACCTGCCACTCAGGTGTTCGGAAGAGAGGGTGGGGTGCGTGGCACCTGCTCCGGCCTGGTAAGTGTGTGAACCTGGTAAGTGTCTGAACCAAGCCTGCGTGGGGTTTTTTTTCGTTTCCTGTGGTTGTTGCAGGTGGCAGGCAATCGATCTCTAGCCTGGTGAGTGAAGTCCCAAGACTGCAACTTGGGGCGATGCAGTAAACAAAACAAAAATAATGACGGCCTCCTCTCTCGTTTCCCATCTTTCATTGTGTTTTGTGTTTTAAGTTTTTAAACAAAAAAATCTTTCCTGATGTTGTTTTGTTTAAAAAACGAACAAACCCCACACCACTGTTTTCCCCAATATATTTGCCTCCTGCACCCACCGTTCATCCTCCCCCACCCACTGCCCCCAATCCCTTTCTGAATTTGTTTGTTCCTGAATTTCCTCCTTTCCTGTCCTTAACCAGGCGTCGGGCGAATTGCAGGAGGGAAGAAACCTGGACTCTGTTCCCTTTGTTTAAAGTCACCAGGTTAGTATCCGGGGTGGTTGTATTAACTGGTGGGATCCTCTCCCTTCCATCCGTCACCGTTTTAACTGTTCCCCCGAAACCACACCACCAACCCACCCAGTCACCATTCTTCCATTGCAACCACCTCATGTAGCACTTGGACCCCTTTCCTTATTTTGCGCGCATATATATGCTTTTTAAAGTGTGATTGGAATCTTAGTCATCATGATGCCTTCCAGGCTTGGGAGCAAACCTCTGTTGCTTGTTTTGTGGATTTTTGCTAAGGCGAACAGTGAATCGTTTGTCAGTGCCTGCTGTTTTAGAAAGGGTCACTAAAGCCTCACTTCCATGCTGTTCCTGCCCAGTGAGGGATCAGGACTGTTGTCACCTGATGATGAGCAAGCTGATGTTGGTCTCTGCTCCTGCTGTCTATGCTGCTCAGGCATAGACAAACCTGTCAATTTCAGTTTCTGCCAGTCTTGTGTGCCCTTCCGCCAGTCTTAAATTCAGTTTGCCCCTTTGTGATTGTAAAAAAAAAAAGTAAAGTGGGGGAAACATATGGATGAAAAGCTGTATGCATTTTCATAATACATGTATTTCGTCTTACAATTTTGCCTAGCGTGAGCATTTTTTGCAAGCAGTTTCCCCCAAGCAGAATGTAGTTTTTGCATGTTACTTTCACAGGCGTACGCATTTTTTGCACATGTTCTTTGGCTGGACAACTTTCACTGCAAAATTCAGAGAAGTGAGACGGAGAGTTGTGTTTCGATTTGTGTATTGGTTTTGGAAGTGCCAATTCAGGACGTTTGCATTAAACGGCAAACGAAGCAAATTTGTTTCCCCACCTCCTTGGTTTGGTTGTCCCTGCTTACAGCAGTCCTTACAGTGACTAGACAACTAGCGTTTTGCTGGCAGTCTTTTCTCTAGCTTTGTGGGGCGGCTTGGGGCTTGTGCAAGGCGCCATCATCTCATTGCTATAGTATAGCCCTTTCGCTGGCCCTGCACATTGGGCCCACTCCACAACTCCTTTTTACCTTGCTCTCGTCACTGCTCACCGTTTTCTTATTGCTATGCCAAACTCCAGTGGTGGATCCCGTAATCCCAGAATTGCAGAGTTGGAAGGGACCCTGTGGATCATCTAGTCCAACCTCCTGTAATGCAGGGATATCCAGCCATCCCAGGGATTGAACCTGTGACCTTGGTGTTGACAGCACCACGCTCTAACCAATGGAGCTATATCTGGGCATTCTTCATTTCGGAGAGTGCAAGTGAACAGGCTTGTGCAGTGGCCTGGCTGAAGCTTATATCCCTAACTGCAAACTCTAACGGCCTTTATGCTGAAGGGGTTCCATTTTTAGCCCAATGGCTGTGGCTTTATTGTAAGCGATGGCTTTAAAAACCAAACAAGCCCAACACTAATAAAAATATAATAATAGGAATGCAAAATGCACTCTAGCCTTCGCAGCAGCAAACCCTGCTGCGTCTGTCACAATAATAGATTTTATTTCCATGGCAAGCGCTGGCTTTGAATGTTCTGGGTGAGCTGCATTTTGAAGTGAGACAGCTGCCAAGAAATGCTTAAGCCTATTTAAATTAGCAGAGAGCAGCGGGGTATGTGTGTGCGGAGAGAAAAGAGTGTAAAAAAGGAAACATATCAAGAGAGAGTAGAAACTTGTACTGCCATTATTTATTTATCATTTATGTCAGCCTTGCTAATAGGCCCCGGAAAGTTACTAGCTGCAGAAATTTGTTTACTAATCCTGCCGCCTCACACGTACCTATGACGTTCAGTGCAATGCTGTGCCTTGGAACTAAGGGCCTAATGGCATCTTATATCAGGGGTACAGAATCTATGGCCTGTCATATATGGTTTGGACTCCAACTCCCATCAGCCTTAGGTAGCATTGTTTTAAATGGATTTATTTGTTTATTTATAAACCATGCTTTCATTGGGACCTGAAGCAAAGTATGGCAATGAAAACACTGAACAGGTTAGTAAGAGTTAATTGGCAAAGGATATCAGGTTTGAAAGGTGTCTCTTAATACTGTTTTTAGAAGATGTCTGACGTGGGTGGTGCTGTGGGTTAAACCACAGAGCCTAGGACTTGCCAATCAGAAGGTCAGCAGTTCGAATCCCCGCGACGGGGTGAGCTTCCGTTGCTTGGTCCCAGCTCCTGCCAACCTAGCAGTTCGAAAGCACTTCAGTCCAAGTAGATAAATACGTAGGTACCGCTCCGGCAGGAAGGTAAACGGCATTTCCATGCGCTGCTCTGGTTCGCCAGAAGCGGCTTAGTCATGTTGGCCACATGACCCAGAAGCTGTACACCGGCTCCCTCGGCCAATAAAGCGAGATGAGCGCCGCAACCCCAGAGTTGGTCACGACTGGACCTAATGGTCGGGGTCCCTTTACCTTTACCTTACAGATGAGCAGGGATATAGATCCTGCCAAATTTCTACTGGCAAGGAGTTCCACAGGGCAGGGCCTGCCACATTAAGTCTCAAACTGAACCTCAGGGGCATGTGGGACACCAAAAGTGCCCCTGTCAGGAGACCTCAATGGTTGAGGTGGCGCAAAAAAGGGAATCAGGTGGTCCAGATGTCTAATGGGAGTTGTAGTCCAGCAATATCTGAAGGGCCGCAGGTTCTCCAAAGTTATCTTAAATTAAGCACAAGAGCCTGCTCAAAGCTGCTGCTTTAATGGCGAAGGAAAAGCAACCCCATGAGATATGCAGCCGCCCTTTCCCAGACAAAAACCCTCCTTGTGGCTAGATGCCCCTGAAGTATCTGGGAGCAAATAGTTGTTGCGAGCTGCGGGCAGCCATTTTAGTCCATACTGTATTCACTCTATATTCTTTCAGCTTTAGACTGTAATCCGAACCGGCTTCACACTGAAATAAGTGGCACTTACATCTGAGAAAGCTTGCATAGGATCAGTGCCAGATTTACGTATAAGCTAAACAAGCTACAGCTTAGGGGCCCATTCTCTTGGGGGCCCGCAAAAAATGTAAAGGAAAAAAACCCTGGATGTACATTTCCAAAATATAAGATAAAAAACAAATAAAATAAAACCTACATTGACAGTGTTTTGTGTTGTGTAGGCTCCTATGATGTAAATAATGGGCCCCACCTGCTAGCCTTCTCCCTAAAATATCACATACTTTGTTATGTGCAAATGGCTTTAGATACCTATGAGGTCCATAAATTACCATATAGCATATATTCAACACAAAAACAGTGACAATTTGTTGTTGACAAAGGACAGCTGGACATATAAAGGGCGCCATTACCTTCAGTAGCTTAGGGCCTCATCAGGCCTAAATCCAGCCCTGCATAGGATGCACCACAGGGGCTAGTTCTTGCCTAGTTAACCAAGGTCCTCCTTCCTCCTCTCATTTTTCCTCACTGTGGTGGCCAGAGGAGTCATTGGTTATAAGCCGTCTGGAATTTGAGCCATGGGGTTATGGGGGGGGGGGGAGCAGGGATATTATTTTGTTAGGAAGAGCAGCCTGTGTGGCAAAAGGGTTGATCCTCCAACGCTGTAAAAATGCGACGGTGGTCACATTCTCCCAATATACATTCAAAACATTCTTATGTCACGGTGTCCTCCAAAAAATCCTGGGAGCTATAGTTTGATAAGGGTGCTGAGAGTTTTCAGGAGACCGCCCCAGAGCTACAGTTCCCAGCACCATTAACAACCAACAGTTCCCTGAATCCTTTGGGGGAAGCCATAAGAGTGTTTAAATGTATGCTGTGGATTAGCATAGATGTTAAGAGACTGAGCTGTGAATTGGGAAGCTGTGAATCTTGCCTTTGCCATGAACTTACTAGGTAACCTTAAAGCAAGCCACTCTCTCTCTCTCTCTCTCAGCCCTATCTCCAAATATGGGGGATCACGTCACTTGTCTGATCTTACAGGGTTAATGCAAGAATTATAACAAGGTAATTGATAGGAAGGATTTGGAATGCTTTTAAATTGCTATATAAGTGATAAGTATTGTTTATATATAGACCAATTCATTTTGGACTTGACAGCATGAGGTTTGCTAATATAAAAGGCGAAACAAGGTTGAGGAATTCAGAAAGGTCTGGTTGTGCGGTCTCAACCTTCACGTGTAACATGCTATTATAATACATTTTATTTTGGTACTGCTTGGGAGGAGGGAAGGGTGAATTATTTATGTTAAAGGGGGATAGTTAATGTATGATGAAACTTTACATTTCTTGTTGGTTTGATTTGGGTATCTGGAAGATATTATCCAGTGAATTATAAATGGGGGGTGGGGTGGAAACCTGGGTTACAATAGAACACTCCCAATTGGCAAAGTGCTTTGGAATGTTTTTGCACTTTTGTGTAATGTCTTATTCCCATTCTGCAGATGGGAAACCGAAACTGAATCCCACTTCTGGATGCAGCCCCACTTTGCAGCAGCTATTTGCAGAAGCCTCTTTCTGCGTAGTGCAGGGGAGGGGAACCTGTGACCAGTTGGACATTGTTGGATTGCGACTCCCCATATGCTTGCAGCTGATGGGAGTTGGCACCCAACAACATCTGGCTGGTCACGAGTTCCACACTTCTGATGAGGGATTGCATTTGCTAGATTGTGATCCGCGAGCCCATGGTAGAACTGGGAATTTAGCAAAGGACCACACTCAAATCTGTCCACTAGCCCATGGACTTTATATTGGCCAAAGATCTGGATTTTGTCCCAAGTGGGCCCTCAGCTTTGTTGCACCAGGGTCCAGGGCCTCAGGTCCTGTTTCAGCATTTTATTAAGTCCTTCTCTCAGCTCTACCTACCCCAGTCTGGATAAGATTATTGTTGAAGTTTATAAAGTGGCTCACAGCTAATTGCAACCATTCTCACCCATAACAATAAAACCAGTCAACAAAAGCAATAAAAAAAGATTAACACACAACAACAGCTATGTGCAAGGTTGTGGTGCTGGGGAGGGCTTCAGAGAACACCACAACAGAGGCTGTTGTATACTACAGTGGTACCTCGGGTTACAGACACTTCAGGT